ACTTCTGTCTCAGATGGGGTTGTTTAGTGATTTCCAGCACCAGCAGAACTCGTTCAGCTCCTGTTTCACAGAGACTCCTGGGAATTCCAGCTGTTCCATGAGCCTTCCACTAGTACAAACTCTTTATTCCATTCCTCTCCTGCCCCTCAGCCCCGCCTTGAACCTCACCTGAAAATTCCTCATCGCTCCCACTTCCTCCACAGCAGTTTTTTGGTGCTTTAATTGGCTCACTTTGTATCTGGAATTTTCCCCCCCTGCTAATCCATCAACTCTCAGCTTGGCAAACCCCAGGGTACAGTGGACATCCAATTTCTCTTTGGATTTTCATTAGGGAAAGAGAGGGAACATAAGCCTGGCATACCCTGGGTAATTTTATTTCAGAGACTGATTGGACAGTTATTTATCCTGCAAGTATTTTAAATTTTTGGAAGCACTAGGAAGAGCAGAGAGCATCCATTTAGCTGTTCCAGAACTTGCTGCTTTGAGGAAGAAGTTGGTCAGAGAGGTGTTTGTTCTCCTGTAACAGGAGTTGGGGGGCATGGATTGACTTCAGAAGAGATAAAGTGAACAATTCAGATAAAACTTTATCCTGAACTGAGTTGAAATCACTTTTTGCATTGATGTGGGCAAACTGCTAAAAACTTGGGGGTTCTGCTGTTACAAATATTTAACGTTTATGGCTTTAAATAGTAAATTGAGAAGCAATAAATTGTCCCCAGAGCTTGTGATCCCATCACCTTCCCACCTGTGTCCTGACTGTTGGCAATGGGGTGTCCCAGGCCTGCAGACAAATACATGAGTACTTGTGAAATGATAGTTTAAATATATATATATATATATATATTCAGGCTGAATAATTTTATTTTTTATTGTATTTTTTGCTTTATAAAAGCACCATAACTTGCTCTTATGGTGACATTGTCCTAAAGTTTCACTTGGCTTTTCCAAGCTTAAGGAGGTGCTTTAACTTTCCATTAATCTGTTAGTGCTTGTGAGACACTTCAACCTTAATTTGTAATTTCATTTAATCTAAATTTTAACTGCTGTGGTTATTTGGGTATAATAACAGTGAAATCCCCAAGTTTTGTATATTTATTAAATATACTAGTGCAGAGTAATTATTGAGGGCTTCCAAGAGTTAAATACCTGTGTTATGGCTCTGGTCCTTGTCTGTTTATTTTTAACAGCAGCTCCTAAATCCACGTGTTGCTCGAAATGCACGATTTTACTTTGTGCCTTTTTAATAAGTAAATAAATAAAATAAGTAAATAAACATTTTAAACCCCAGTCTGGTCACATTAAACCTGGGTTAAGTCCTGCTTTTGGTGTTGCTCTGCAGATCCTTGCTGACGATGGTGGCCGCTGGAGGCATCAATATTGAAGATTATCTCATTTACAGACAAGATCTTTGAAATCCGGTCCCTTCAGGCAGCAAAGGTAAGGGAAATAATCGAGATTATGCCTTTTTCTAGAAGGAATACCTTAGTTTTGGGCCTCAAAAATAACCAGACTTGAACAGCAGCTGAAGGTTGGGAGCCAATGTTTAACCTCTTTTTTAATAAGTTTATTTATTCTGCTAATGTGAAAAATAAGCTGCGTGGAGGGAGCTCGGTTTCTTTTCCTCCTTTTAGTTACAAGAATATGAGTCATTAACTTCTTTTTTTTTTCTTTTTTGCCTGCATTTAATGGCTTTTCCTTATTCTTCCTTTCTCACAAGTTTTTTGCCCTATCTGCAATATCTGTGTGTGTGTGTGATACAGACCCTTGTATGTTAAAACCTGGAGAGTGGCTGAGGAAAAAAGCCCAAAAATTAGGTGGAAAAGAAATAAAATAGGGGTCAATCTCCCGAAAATTCCCATAGAACTGGAGAAAACTGGCTTTTAAATTAAAAATTCAGGCATGAATCTGACGTATCTTGTG